TGTAATCCCAGCGCTTTGGGAGGCTGAGGGAGCCAGATCACCTGAGGTCGGGAGTTCAAGACCAGCCTGACCAACATGGAGAAACCCCATCTCTACTAAAAATACAAAATTAGCTGGGCATGGTGGCGCATGCCTGTAGTCCCAGCGACTTGGGAGGCTGAGGCAGGAGAATCCCTTGAACCTCGGAGGCAGAGGTTGCAGTGAGCCAAGATCGTGCCACTGCACTCCAGCCTGGGCAACAAGAGCAAAACTCTGTCTCAAAAACAACAACAAAAAGAGTTATTGGGGTCCCCTTGGCCACAAGGGGGTCCATTCAGTCGAGGAGTGGTTTAGGATTTTAGGTTTATAAATCTTAGGGAAAGACTCCCAGGAGAGTAAGTAAGACATAAAGCCATATCATGTAACGATGTAAGTGTATGTATGTCATTGTTATAATAGGCAGAGTTATAATATTAAAATAATGATAATGATGATGTTAACAATGTCCTCTTCCTATGGGGCGGGGATGCAGGAGTAACCAGCCTTCTCAGGAGAAGTATTATGGCTGCACTATTACCACTGTGCTACTTTATAACTACAGCATGATCACATACACTATAACCAAGCCTGGGAGTGATCACAGTAATGATGTCCTTTCAGGTGCAGCATTGCATAGGGGTTAATAGAATGGACTCTGTAGTCAGCCAGCCTGGGTTCGAATTTCCCTGTGCTATTTACAAGTTTTGTGATCTTGGGAAATTCCTTTATTCCTCCGTGACACATTCTTTGTGCGGGAAACAAGTATAATAATTGTGCTCATCTCAAGCGTTAGGAGGATTGAACGAACCTAGAACATGGCCTGGTACCCATTAAACACTTAACTAAAATCTGCTGTCATCATTATCGTCATCACAATTAGCATTATGTACTGGGTGCCACATCATTTATGCTTCACAAAGACCTTATACTGTGCGGACTATTTCCCTCTGGGTTACAAGATTGTCATTATTCAACAGTGGTATCAATTGCAACGATAACGGTAGCATAAACGCAAATAACCACAATATCAATGTGGTAGCCAGCCTCCAAGATTGCCCTCAATCAATCTTATCTCCTGATATTCAAACTCTGTACAGAGACCTCTTTCACGATAAATAGAATTGACCACCGTAACCAATACATTCACTATGTGGTGAACACACTCAAGTATTCTTATGGTGGGTTCCATGAGGTGAGAAACTGAGGCTTTCACCTTCTGATCATAGTCATGTGAGCTTAGAATCAGGTCCAATTAGCCCCAGTTAGCCTTCAGATGACTGCAATTCTGGCCAACATCCTAATTGCAACCTCATGAGAGTTCCTGAGCCAGAATCACCTAGCTAAACTGTGCCTAGATTTCCAGCCCTCAGAGAGTGTGTGGGAGGTAAGTGTTTATTATTATGTTAAGCCACTAAGTTTTGAGTAATATGTTACAAATAGCGATAAATAATTAATATGGTGGTCCTAGTCTGTTTGGGATGCTATAACAAAATCCCTAGGCTGGGGGATTTATAAACAAGACAAATTTATTGCTCACAGTTCTGGTGGCTGAAAAGTCCAAGATCAAGGTGCCAACACGTTCAGTGTCTGGCGAGGATTGTCTGCTTCATAGATGGTGACTGCTTGCTGTGTTCTCGCATGGCAGAAAGGAAGAGAAACTCCCTTGGCCCTCTTTTGTAAGCCCATGAATTGCATTCCTGAAAGCAAAACCCTCATGACCTAATCACCTACCAAAGACTCCATCCTCTTAATATTATCTCAATGGGAAACTGATTTCAATATGTAAATTTGGTGGGGGGAGGCACAAATTTAGACCATAGCAGCAGTCAACACTGTATTGTAAATGTGCCCATTTTCCACAATATAATAGAACACACCATGGGTTTTCAGGATTGGCATTTATTGTAGGCACAAACTTAATATAACTCAAATGATTGTACTAATGTGCTTCTTATATTGTCCTATTTCACAAATGTAAACAGAGAACACCATTTTTTGTTTTAATAGCAGTATTCCTTGTTATAATAAATATTAAAATAACACCATAATAAAATCACTAAGGTTACAACCTAACTGTGCTGAATTCACAGAGGGTGGAAAACATCACCCCAGGGGTGGGACTCCTGTGTTTATATAACACAAACACCTGCAGGTGGCAGAAACCAGCAGAGACAGAGGATTTCTCAGCATCAGAATTGATATGTTGTTATTTATGATATCTTAATAATTTAGAGGCATAGAATAAATAATGACAAGGATTCTGATATTTGTTATAAAGTATAATTATGTTGATTATATTTAAAATCATTAATAGAAACAATGTAATTGTAGAGTTAAGTATAACTGTAAGTGGTATGGTATGACATGGTATATGGTATGGTATGATATGAGGATGTGGAGTAGAGTGTGGTGGGGTGGGGTAGGATATACCATAGATAATAGTCACATTGGGTTGGGTGCAGTGACTCAGGCCTGTAATCCCAAAGCTTTGGTGGCTGAGGTGGGCAAATCATGAGGTCAGGAGATTGAGACCATCCTGGCCAATGTGGTGAAACCCCGTCTCTACTAAAAATACAAAAAATTAGCCGGGCGCGGTGGCAGGCGCCTGTAGTCCCAGCTACTTGGGAGGCTGAGGCAGGCGAATGGCAGGAACCCGGGAGGCGGAGCTTGCAGTGAGCCGAGATCGCGCCACTGCACTCCAGCCAGGGGGACAGAGCAAGACTCCGTCTCAAAAAAAAAAAAAAAAAAAAAAAATTAGCTGGGTGTGGTGGTGGGTGCCTGTAATCCCAGCTACTCGGAGGCTAAGGCAGGAGAATCCCTTGAACCTGGGAGGCAGAGGTTGCAGTGAGCCAAGATCTCGCCACTGCACTCCAGCCTGGGCCACAGAGCAAGACTCCATCTCAAAAAACTAAAAATAAAAAATAGTCACTATTTGGCACTAGTAGCCCAGTTGAATGCTAAGGGTGGAGGGTGTGATTCATCCTGGCATTATGGGAAGTGTCCATGACAACCTTGGCTTTAAGCTGACTTTGGCCACAGGGTCAATATCTGCCACACTGCGTCACATCCATTATCCAACAAGGCACCTGAGCCCCAGAACTCTCAGCCCTGCCACATTCCTCTTGCTCCTGGGGTTCCACATTTTCCAGCGGCTGCTCAAGTGGAGGAGGTGGAGCAGATGACACTGACAATGGGATACAGGATAGAAAGTGCTAGGGTAGATGCTGATGGGAGTGGCCCCCTGCCTATGGATCTCCCACTACTGCCCCTTTCCCCCTCTACATGGCCTGACACTGTGACCAGGAGGAGGCTAAGTTAGGAGATCTTGTAAACAGTGGGGAATGTAGATAGGTAGGATACTCAGTTGGGCACTGCCCTGACATGGAGTTAGAGCGGGGTGTGCTGGACCATGGTGGGAGGAGGCATTAAATCTTGAATTAGAAGACCTGAACCCACCCCAGCAACTTCCCCACCCATGTAACCAATCTGTGTGGGGCATTTGGTCAACCTTGATATTATTGCTATTATTCATTCATCCATTTAACAAGCTTGTACTGAGCGTCTGCTTTGAGCTGGCACCGTGCTGGGTGCCTGGGATACAGCAGAAACAAGACAGACAAAGTCTGGGTCTCATGAGGCTGATGATCCAGTGAGGAAGAGGGATGAGAAACCAAAAAAAGGAATATTTAATCAGGTCAGATAGTAGTAGTATTTGCAATGCAAATATAGTACAAAATAAGGGAGCAGCAAGTGAGCCTAGAAATGTGTTACCTCAATGGAAGGATGCCATGGGGGTGGAAGCACTCCAAAGGTAGAAGAGGAAAGCAAGATGCATGGGTGCTGGAGAAGCAGAGTACTCTCAAAACAGTCAATGCAAAGGCCCAAAGCCAGAGAAAGCATCCTTGATGTTAAAACAGCCAGAATTGAGATGCCTAACAAATAAATAGGTTGACTAACTCCAACTGCGGGCTCTCTGGACCCTATGGCCTCTTTTATTGTAGTTATATCTTTGCCCTACAAACATTAAATGCAACGATGTGAAAGTAGAAATAACCAAAATATTATGTGAAAGTTTGATACGTAAAATATTAAAATTAGGTAATCATATAAAATAAAATATATACTACAAAACAGGTACTATTCTATAAAATACAAACTATTTTATTGAAGGAATATACAGTAATAAATAGTACAATATGCTATATAACATACTGTAGACACAATTTCCTATAGTATGTAATGACAGGCGCATATAAAATTAAAATATATAAATCTGGTTATTTACATTTATAAATCTTTTATCAAATGTAATTCAAGTTATCACATGGTAAAATATAACAGTACTTTTGAGATTCATCCATGTTGTAGCAGGTGTCAATACATCATTTTTTTATATCTGAGCAGCCCTCCATAGAATCGGTGCACACAATGTGTTTAATCTCTCATCCACTGATGTACATTTGTGTTGTTTCCTCATTTTGGCAATTATACAATTGCTGTGAACATTGGAGTGTAGGTTTTCATGTAAACAGAATTTTTATTTCATCTAAGGTAAATACCTAAGTGTGGGGTTGCTGAGTCATATGATCAATGTATGGTTTTTTGTTTGTTTTTTTTTTTTTTTGGTAGTCTTGCTCTGCTCCTTGGAGCTGGAGTGCAGTGGCTGGATCTCAATGTGGCTCCTGACTCACTGGGTTTCATGCCATTCTCTGCCTCAGCCTCCCAAGTAGCTGAGACTACAGGCCACCTGCCACCTGCTCCCGGCTAGTTTTTGTATTTTTAGTAGAGATGAGGTTTCACCGTGTTAGCCAGGATGGTCTCGATCTCTTGACCTTGTGATCCGCCCCTCTCAGCCTCCCAAAGTGCTGGGATTACAGGCTTGAGCCACGCGCCCGGCCCAATGTATGGTTAATAGTATAAGAAGCTGCCAAACTTTTGTGCAGAGTGGACAGACCATTTTATATTTCTACAAGCACGAAATTTCCATCAGTCTGTATTCGCCAATGTGTGGTACATTTTCATTTTTAGCCATTCTAAAAGCCCATTCTATAGCAGTATCTCATTGTGGTTTAATTTAGATTTTCCTGATAATTAAAGATGTTGAGCATCTTTTTCATCGCCATATTTTCTATTTTGTTTTTTTCATATAACCATATGGATGAATCTCAAACACATCACGTTAAATGAAAGCACTCCGACTCAAAAGGAGATACACATACACATACAAAACACACACACACAATGACTCCACTTATACAATATTATGGAAAAGGCAGAACTATAGAGACAGAAACAGACTGGTGATTGCCAAGGCCTGGGAGTGGGAAAAAGGGACTAAAAGTCTCTTTCACTCATATGGTTTCTCTCAGTGTAGATTCTATGATGTGTAATCAACTCTGACTTCTGTCGAAGGTCTTCCACATTCAGAACAGATCTTAGGGCTTTTCTCCCGTATATGAGTTTTCTGGTGCTTACTGAGATTTGACCTGCCACTAAAGGCCTTCCCACACTCGGCACACACATAGGGTTTCTCTCCTGGCTGTGAGATTGGCTGATGCACCAGGAGCTGAGACTTGGAGGTAAAGGACTTCCCACAGTCACTGCATTCATAAGGTTTCTCCTCAGTATAAGATTCTTTGATGAGTAATAAAGTTTGACTTGCGGATGAAAGCTCTTCCACACTCGGTGCATACATAGGGTTTCTCTCTGTACATGAATTTTCTGATAGACAATGAGTATTGATTTCTGGTTGAAGGCTTTCCCACATTCGTGGCATTCATACTGTCTCTCTCCAGTATGAATTTTCTGGTGTATATTGAGGTGTGACTTCTGAGTGAAGGCTTTTCCACAAGTACTGCATTGTAAGGCTTCTCCCAATGTGGATTCTCTGATGTGTAATCAAGTCTGACCGCTGGGTGAAGGCCTTTCCATTTTGGAACATATATAAGATTTCTCTCCTGTATGAGTTTTCTGATGTGTAATGAGATTTGACCGGTTGGTGAATGCCTTCCCACATTTATTGCACATATAGGGTTTTTCTCCTGTGTGAATGGATTTATGAAAAATGGAGTTGTGATTTGGAAGTAAACAATTTCCCACAGTGACCACATTATAAGGTTTTCTCAGTATGAATTATTTGATGTGCAATCAAATGTGCCTTCTGAATGAAGACCAGTCCACATTCATGCATATATACGATAAAGAGAAAGGGCTAAGAGCAGTTTCTTTCTCTTGATTGTAATGTTGATTGCGCAGTTAGATACAGTATCAAAACTCAGACTCACTAAAAGTGTGAATATTACTCAGCATTATAAATTATACCTCAATAAATATAACAACAAAAAAATATTTCAGTTATGTCCACACAAAAAGCCCTGCACAGATATTTATAGCAGCTTTCCTTATAATTGCCAAAACTTGAAGCATCGACAGTCCTTCAGTAGGTGAATATTATCAGACAAGTAGACATAATTGGTGCTAAAAGAAATGCAATATCAAACAAAGAAAGACATGGAGGAGACTTAAATCTGCATTACTAAGTGAAAGAAGTCAATCTGAAAAGGCTACCACCTGTATGATTTCAACTATATGATATAAACGGTAAAAGGTAAAACTATGGAGACAGAAAAAAAAGGTTGTGCCAGGGTTAGAGGAGCAGAAGGAAGACAGCAGAACACAGGAGGATTTTTGGGGCAGTGAAACTACTCTTGTGTATACTTGAATGAATGTTGCCATGATCTTGTTCCAAAAAAGCGGAAAGTACAGATACATTCTATGGTGTTACACCAGAAAGAACCCTAGAGACTTGGGTGACAATGAGTGTCAGTGGAGATTACTAACGTTATAACAAATATACTACTCTGAAGTGCTGATAGTAATAGGAGCCTCTTATATATCTATGTGGATTAGGGGATATCTGCAAACCTCTGTAATTTCTACCCAATTTTGCTTTGAGACATAACCACTCTAAAAATAAAGCCTTCTGTACATATGGGTATATGCATACACATATATGTAAAGTACTATAATATTGTTACAATACATATATAAGAGAAATAATCAAAGTCATTTACAATAAATTGTTCCCTTCATAAGGCTTGGGCATACGGAGGATAAGTCAGATGCTTATGTTGATGATGACTGTGTTAACAGGATGCTCTCATTGGGCCCTGCTGGCAGATCCCCTCTATCCCAGGTGACCCAAAAAATTACTTCATTCTCCCATAATCCCATTTTACAAATTAGAGACGTTGAGGCCCAGAGGAGGTTTCTGTGGCTGAGGATCCCTACGTGGATCAGTGTTGGCACCAAATTTGAACCAACATAGACAGCTTTCACTGTTCTGTCACCACTCTCATGTAGTAGACAGGAAGCCCAGCTTGTGATCTCTGAGATCTCAGATCATCCTTGGCCCACCCTGGGTCATAATTCATTGTGCCTTAGGGGACCTCGGAAGTAGTCTATGAAGCTAGGACCTCGTCCTCATCCACCATCTTCCAGGGATCATGATCAAGCAAACATGAAATGCAATTTTGGAGAAAGTACAGTAACCAAGGTGACTGAGGCACCTCATGAAGCAATGTGGGAAGTTGGGAATCAACATCACTGACATTGGATTAACAGGGGCCAATGAGAGCCAAGAGATACCATCAAAATTTAAGGAGGAGTGGACACTGTGTTAGTGATTAATGGGCATCAATAGACATTGCAGGCTAGTTTTGTTTTTAAACTGGGGTCCTATAAGAAGGGGACAGAAGAGGCTCCAAAATACAGTTGGGAAAGGTGGACATTATGGTTCATTGTAAGCCACTGCCCTTACCTGAGTGAAGGAAGGAAGTCCAGCAGCATCCACCGTATCGAAGGCATTCCATGCTGGGTTGGGACAGTTAGATACTGCTAGGTGGTAATGGAGATCATTCACAGAGGAAAAATCAATAAGAGGGGACCACAAGACATCCTGCTAGAAGTGTAATAAAAGTATCAGGAAGTGTGCCATTGTATTATTGAGGCACCACTGTCCCGATTCACAGGGATTGTAATATCGTGGTCATCCGCAGAATGGAAGTGGACCTTACTAGACATAGTCACAAGTGGGAGAGTAACAGACATCATGCTGGAGGTAGGTGATTGTAAAAGAGGTAATGAGGAGATCTCCAGAAACTATTTCCTGGAACTGATGAAGTGTGACACACATCTAAGAGTACGGTAAAATGGGAAAAATAGCCAGGCATTGTGGTCCTTTCCAGCCTAACCCAAATGGTTGTGTTTGATATTCACATAAGTTATTAATCTGTTACATGAAAGTCACATCATTAAGGAAGCCAAATGCTAAGCTTCAAGTCAGTGATGAGTAATGAAAAAAAAGAAAGAAAGGCAACTGAGTTGGAAGAACTGTGACAGCAGAAGGGAGATTTAAGTTGTCTCAGATGACCTGAAAATTCTTACCTCAGAAGCTTTCTTGAAGGCGATGGGAGTTCACAAGACACTGTGCTGGGAATCAAGCAATGTGCTGAGGGCCTGTGAGGTTGAAGACAGTCCTGGTAGATGCAGGGGGTTGCAAGTCTTGGTGCTAGATGACAATGGGGACTCAACATACATTCTAGAGGTTACATCTGTATACAGAAGGTTTTTTTCTTTTTCGTTGTAGCATCTCTTTCTTGATAGAAATATTGGACTAAGGGTTAAAATGGAAATGACCAACTGGTAGATTTGAATGAGAGAAAGAAAAACACCCACAAGTCTGTTACACAATGTGTTCATAGCGAACAACTTACATAACTTAGGATTCATCACTATCAAAATAACTTCGTATTATGTTGCTTTATCAATTTGTTGTACTATACCTAATCCACAGTAAACAGGATTATCATTAACATAACATGATCTTTCTTATGAAGAATTTGGTAACAGTGTTCTATTATGCGTTTTTCACTTGAGAAGGCTTTCCTATTCACCAAATTATTTCGGTTCACTTGTCAGTATGAATAATCCCAAGGTTTACTGTGATATAGTGACAATGTAGGAAGGGTCCCTCGCTTCATTCAAGTGCCTTCTCAGAGGCCCTCCTCCAGAACAGCCATGTGTGACATTCTGATGTTGTTGTTTTTATTTACAATAATATACATATTTTTCTGCTGCATGCATGCAACAGTGTACAATCAGACCCGACCCTCAGTGGGGTTTCTCACACTGTTCTCTCAAGTGTGGCTGCTCTGATGGACACTGAACATGATTTCTGAACAAGCCTTTCCCACAGATGCCACACTTGGGTTTGTCTCCAGTGTGTGTTGTCTGATGTTTGTTAAATTTGACCTGTCAGTAAAGGCCTTCCCACCTCAGCTTTTACACACTAGAGGCTTACCTCAGTGTAGATTCGTTGATGCACTTGGAGCTATGATTTTAGCGTGAAAGACTTCCCCAGTCACTGCACTCGTACGGTTTCTCTCAGTATGAATTCTATGATGTGTAATCTAGCTCTGACTCTGTTGAAAGGTCTTCCCACATTGAACACATGTGGGGCTTTTCTCCCGTATGAGTTTTCTGGTGCTTACTGAGATTTGATACCGCACTAAAGGCCTTCCCACTCGGCACACACATAGGGTTTCTCTCTGTGGCAAATTGGCTGATGCACAGGAGCTGAGACTTGGAGGTAAAGGACTTCCCAGTCACCACCTGTTCATAAGGTTTCTCTCAGTATGAATTCTTTGATGAGTAATAAGTTTGACTTACTGGGATGAAAGCTCTTCCACACTCAGTTACATACATAGGGTTTCTTTCTCTCCAGTATGAATTCTTTGATGAGTAATAAAGTTTGACTTGCGGATGAAAGCTCTTCCACACTCGGTGCATACATAGGGTTTCTCTCCTGTATGAATTTTCTGATGAACAATGAGTATTGATTTCTGGTTGAAGGCTTTCCCACATTCGTGGCATTCATACTGTCTCTCTCCAGTATGAATTTTCTGGTGTATATTGAGGTGTGACTTCTGAGTGAAGGCTTTTCCACAAGTACTGCATTCATAAGGCTTCTCCCCAGTATGGATTCTCTGATGTGTAATCAAGTCTGACCGCTGGGTGAAGGCCTTTCCACATTTGGAACATATATAAGATTTCTCTCCTGTATGAGTTTTCTGATGTGTAATGAGATTTGACCGGTTGGTGAATGCCTTCCCACATTTATTGCACATATAGGGTTTTTCTCCTGTGTGAATTCGTTTATGAACATGGAGTTGTGACTTGGAAGTAAACAATTTCCCACAGTGACCACATTTATAAGGTTTTTCTCCAGTATGAATTATTTGATGTGCAATCAAATGTGCCTTCTGAATGAAGGCCAGTCCACATTTCATGCATACATATGATTTTTCTCCTGTATGAATTCTCTGATGCACTGTGAGTGCTGACTTCTGAGTGAAGGCTTTTCCACAGTCACTGCATTCATACGGTTTCTCTCCAGTGTGAATTCTCTGATGAATAATCAACTCTGACCTGTAGGTAAAGGCCTTCCCACACTCAGTACATATAGAAGATTTCTCTCTAATTTGGACTTTCTTATGTGTAATGAGGTTGGAATTATTGCTGAAGACCTTCCCATATTCGGTACATACATAGGGCTTCACTCTTGTGTGAACGCGTTGATGTACCTGAAGTTGTGACTTGGAAATGAAGGATTTGCCACAGTTACTGCACTCATATGGTTTCTCTCCAGTATGAATTCTTCGGTGTGCAATCAAATGAGTCTTCTGGATGAAGGCCTGTCCGCATTCAATACAGATGTAGGATCTCTCGCCTGTGTGGATTTTCTGATGCATCTTGAGTGTGGACTTTTGTGTGAATGCTTTGCCACAGTCAGTGCATTCATGGTGTCTCTCTCCAGTATGAATTTTCTCATGTATACTGAGATCTGAGTTATAAGAGAAGCCTTTCCCACATTGGCTGCATTCATAGAGTTTCTCTCCGGTATGAATTCTCTGATGTCTGAAGAGAGACGATACTTGAAAAAAGGATTTTCCACATTCATTGCATTTAAAGGGTTTCTCTCTCATATGGGTTTTCTGGTGTATAATAAATTCTGGCTTCTGTACAAAAGCCTTCCCACATTCAATGCATACATAGAGCTTTTCTCCTGCAAGAACTTTCAGGTGTACTTTGAGCTGTGACTTCTGGGTGAATATTTTTTCAAATTCAGCGCATTCATAAGGTTTCTCCCCGGGATAAACTTTTTGTGGTTGAGAGGATACTTGTTTATAACTGAGGATTTTTCTACATTGATTATGGTCCCATAATTTCTCTCCTGTTGGAATACACTCATGGTTAGTATAGGAAGACATTTTATCATTTGGTAATCTTTTTAACATTCTTTGAAGCATTATTTTTATTATGACTGTATAAATCTAAATTATGCTTTAAACTATTTCCAAATGAGCCACATTGATGGGGTCTTTTGGGAGGAGAAATGATGTTTGGGTTCACATGAATTATTTTTCTACTATCCTTATAGTCATAATGCCTCTTTGTTGTCAATATTTTCTTGATGAAAGCAACATCATTTTGATATTTATTTTCTCCACTGATAGCTCTCTATTTATCACCAATCGTCACAATTATTCTAGACTAAAATAGAATCTCACATTACTTTCATCATGCCCTTTTCTTTCAATATGGAAAGAAACCTCTTCAGAGATTCCCTGCTGTAAGGTCTGAAACCTAAACTCCTCTGCTCAAATGAGAAACAGGTGATTTTAGTTCAAAGAACAGCTAGCAGAGGCTCAGGGGTATGGTACAAATGACTCATCCAGGCTGAACACAGAGAAAAGGGTGAGGATGAGTAACGTGAAGAGGAAGGCAGTGATAGTGTTGATAGGAAACATTCTGGAAAACAATTCAGCAGTTAGAGGAAATAAACTAGATGAACAGATAACACCATGGACAGATTTGGAAAAAGTAAGGCAAAAAACACTATATATACCACAGCATCATTCAGATAAACGAATGATCCAAACTCTTAATTCACTTACAACATGCATGAAATCAAAAATGTTTCCATCATATAAAACAGTGGCTTATGACAGGCAGAAAAATGGGTGTGGGGGAAACAGAAAAATGAATAAATCAAAAAATAAATAAGAGAGAATCCTGACCCAGACTCATGATGATAGTGTATCTTAAACTGAGGCCTATGATTCAACTCAAACCTCATCAGGTAAACTATAAAAATAAAGCAATCAAAATCAACAACAAAAACGAACCCTGGTCAATGTGGAATCACTCAAGCAACATCAGGAAGAAAGGTCAGGAAGGGCGATTAATCATGTTAAACATAGCAGAAAGATAATCCCAAAGATTAAGTAACAGTGACCCCCAAGTCATCAGCTTATCCAGGCATGAAGGACTGGGAAGAAGTAAGAAATTTCATGGCCACTCCTCTGCAGAAAACAAAAAGAGAGGCTGATTGGACAGAAAGCTCTGAGGCATCTCAAAGTAAAAAAAAAAAAAAAAAAAAAAAAAAGGACAGAAAAAAAAGAAAAGAAATAAAGGTGACTAGCAGTAGTGGGAGTGTGTGACAGAGTAACTTTGAAACAAAGCAGATCCGTGAATGTCGTAAGGTAAAAGAAAAATTATGTGGGGAATGTAGGACTACGGGGAATGTAGGGGAAAAGAAAAATGTTAAAGAAAATGAGTATAACCAAGAAAGAAAGATATCTTAATTCTCCTAGATAAATGAAGCAGACTGGCACATGATTCAGAATCCACAAAGCCAAAGAAGAACACAGAAGTGACAAAGGTCAGCCAGGCTCAGTGGCTCATGCCTGTAATCCCAGCACTTTGGGAGGCCAAGGCAGGTGGATCACTTGAGGTCAGGTGTTCGAGACCAACCTGGCCAACATGGTGAAACCCTGTCTCTACTAAAAATACAAAAATTAGCTGGGCATGGTGGCTGGCACACACCTGTAATCCTATCTACTTGGGCGGCTGAGGTACGAGAATCACTTGAATGCAGTAGGTGGAATTTGCAGTGAGCTGAGATCATGCCACTGCCCTCCAGCCTAGACAATACAGCCCAGGCTGTGACCGAAGCTGTGACCAAAAAAAAAAAAAAAAAAAAAAAAAAAGACAGAAGTCATCCAGGGAGAATGCATTTAGTGATCTGAGAGGCCAAGGGGCATCAAGCAATATAAAAACATTCAGAACTTTCCAGAAAAAGCATCTTAATAGTATTCCAAGGGTGTTGGTGTTTCTCAAGACAGCTGAGATTTCCTCCCATCTCCCATCTACCTGAGTCACACTCGCTTCACTCACCTGGGCAGCTTTGACGCGGCCTCTCACTCTGCAGTGCCCATGGTTCCTTTCCTTGCTCCAACATGACCACCTCTGCTTCAGGAACTTGATACCCTGTTCATGGGAAATGATAAAGGTCTGGGTCCAGCTAATTGTGTTTCAGGGCCCAGCCAATAAATTCTTTTTCTTTGATGAAGATTTTTTCCTCAGAAAAGTAACCGTAACTTTTCAGGGTAATAATTCTGAGTGCCCTAAACAAATAAAGAATCCTAGACAAATCAAGGACAAAATCATCACCTATTTAAGATGTGGACAGCATTCATCAATGAGAATGCAAGCACTCTCAGTGAGGCCTCCTTTCAGAAATGAAGGTGACTGTGCTTACCTACTGAGAGCAGGTGGCTGTAGGTCTCCAGCATCACATCCCGGTACAGGTTTCTCTGCGAAGGGTCCAGGTGCCGCCATTCCTCTCTGCTGAAATCGATAGCTACATCCCTGAAGGACACTGATCCCTGTAAGGGCACATTCCTGTTCAATGTGCATAGTCAGTTTAGGGGGTTGGAGAGACTATATTTAGGAATATGGAATACGGTTCTTATTGTTTTAAATTTACATTCTCTCTTTAAAAACTCACTCCCATTTCTCTAATACTTTATTATGAAAATTTTCAAACATACAATTTAAAATAATTGTACAGTAAGAAATGTATACCTACCACCTAGAATCTATCATTAACACTTTACTTGCTTTATCATACATCTAAGCCATTCTTTTATCTATCCATCTTGCTTCTTTGTACATTTCAAAGTAAGTTGCAGATGACACCACACTTCCTCCTAATACTTTTTTTTTTTTTTTTTTTTGAAACAGAGTCTCGCTCTGTTGCCCAGGCTGGAATGCAATGGCATGATCTTGGCTCACTGCAACCTCTGCCTCCCAGGTTCAAGCGATTCTCCTACCTCAGCCTCCCGAGTAGCTGGGATTACAGGAATGTGCCACCACGCCCAGCTAATTTTTTTATTTATAGTAGACATGGGTTTTGCCATGTTGGCCAGGCTGGTCTTGAACTGCTGACCTCAGGCGATCCACCCGCTTCAGCCTCCCAAAATGCTGGGATTACTGGCATGAGCCACGGCGCCCAGGCTCTCCTAATACTTCAAAATGCAAAGCATGAACTAGGGTGTAAAACTTGTTAACCTTTCTTAGGTAAAACTGACATACAATTAAAAGGACCAATCTTTAATTTACCATTTAAAGTTTTGACAACTGTATACACCTGTATAATCCGGGAATTTCTAAGAAATATTTTATATATGTGCATATTTAATAGTTTTACGTATGTTGTGGAACACAGAAATCCCATCAAGAATTTCTGCTATTTGTTCTGTACTACAGTCAGTCCATTACTCATTTTTCAAAACTGGCAATTGAAATAAGCTATGTGGCCGGGCGCGGTGGCTCACGCCTGTAATCCCAGCACTTTGGGAGGCCGAGATGGGCGGATCACGAGGTCAGGAGATGAGACCATCCTGGCTAACCCGGTGAAACCCCGTCTGTACTAAAAAAAATACAAAAAACTAGCCGGGCGAAGTGGCGGGTGCCTGTAGTCCCAGCTACTTGGGAGGCTGAGGCAGGAGAATGGTGTGAACCCGAGAGGAGGAGCTTGCAGTGAGCTGAGATTGAGCCACTGCCCTCCAGCCTGGGCGACAGAGCGAGTCGGGGGGAAAAAAAAAAAAAAAAAAAAGACTTTGAAAATAAATTAGACTGAAGTTTTTTAAAAAAGAAGACATAACAAATTCATTAAGGTATTGGAAAGCAGATGCCTTATGTGGAACACACTGAGGGCCCAAAGAAACAAAAAGTACATGTTACATAAGGGAGTAAGTTTACATTCCATAGAGTTGACAAATTTAACTTGGAAGATACAAAGTGTAACCCAGAATATGGGGTGAGGGGGTCAATGCCCAGAAAAGACAAGAATAAAGGGTCTAGAGATAGAAAAATACACTACAAGTTTAGGGAACAGCAAACAGGTTTACATAAATGGAGAGAAGTCTGCCTGATGAGTCAGAAAAGCCGTATAGGAAAAACAGTTTGGTCAAAGGATGGAATTTTTACTTTCAGTAATGGTAATTAAGGTAATCAGATTTATATCTAAATGTTTTCTAAAGTTCTGTATTACAGGATAACCAAACGGTTGGTGAGGAAAAGCTCTTTTTTATTTTTTCAGACAAGAGTCTCACTCTGTCGCCCAGGCTGGAGTGCGGTGGTGCGATCTCGGCTCACTGCAACCTCCACCTCCTGGGTTCAAGCAATTCTCTGCCTCAGACTCCCGAGTAGCTGGGATTACAGGCACCTGCCACCACACCAGGCTAATTTTTGTATTTTTAATAGAGACAGGGTTTCACCATGCTGGCCAGGATGGTCTTGATCTCCTGACCTCATGATCTACCTGCCCCGGCCTCCCAAAGTGCTGGGATTACAGGTGTGAACTACTTTGCCCAGATGGAAAAGTTCTTTATAGAATGATTCTAGCTAATAAATAAAGAAGTTAGGATAAAATTAAAATACCACCATGTATAACTACTAATGAAATAACAGAGGCAATAATCATTAATGGCTGTTGGAATGTTTCAGTTGAAAGGCTGAAGGGAAGTGCACAATGGACAGATCAGCTAGAAACATCTTCATCCATGAACCAGCTCTTGTGGGCCTGCTGACATGGTATAGTAATTAATTTCATTATACTACTTACGAAGTATTCTTGCCAAAAAATAAAATCCAAACCCCTATCTCACCAAGCCTCCAGATCTAACAAGCCATTCACAGGAGTGGGAAGGAGAGTGAAACATACTGAACAATATGAAGACCAAGACATCAGCTAAATTCAGAAGGTAGCAAATGACCCACTTCTTCAAAAAATTAATTACAAGAGAATGGACATAGAAGGGAATATTTTCTTTCTTAATAGAGACTTAAGAGCCATACTAACTGAATGCAACTTGTGGACTTTCGCTCCTAATTAAAATGAACCAATCTTAAAAACATATTTATGACAATTTAGAGAAATGCAAATGGTGGGTATTAGATGGTATCAAGGAATTACTGTTATTTTGTTGTGTGACATTAGCTTCCTGGTCATGCTAAACAAAAACGAAAAAAGGAATTCATATCTCTTTGAGATATATATCAAGGCATTTTTAGACAAAACATGGTTTTTTTTAGATTTGTTTTAAAATAATCTAGCCACTGAATGGTAGTCGGCTTCAGATGAAGTAAGAATGGCAGAATGGGCCAGGCGTGGTGGCTCATGCCTGTAGTCCCAGCACTTTGGGAGGCCAAGGCAAGTGGATTGCTTGAGGTCAGGGGTTTGAGACCAGCCTGTTGGAGAAACCTCATCTCTACCAAAAAATACAAAAATTAGCTGGTTATGGTGGCAACCACCTGTAATCCCAGCTACCCAGGAGGCTGAGGCACAAGAATCACTTGAACCCAGAAGGTGGAGATTACAGTGAGCTGAGGTCGTGCCACCGCACTCCAGCCTGGGAAACAGAGAGAGACTCCATCTCAAAAAAAAAAAAAAAAAAAGGCCGAATGTTGATGATGACTGAAACTGGGTGACAGGGACAATCAGTGAAAGGGATCTTTATACTATTATCTTCACTTTTGCATATATTTAATTTTTTTCATAACAAAATGCTTATTGAAAACAAAATACATGGTCCTCCAAATTAAAAAAGTCTAACTTGGAATTGCACAATTAAAGGAATGTCTATTACCACATGGAGCTGTATACATTTAAACAAAGTATACTAGAGACTTGAATATCCCTCCCTCACCTTAGCAATTTATCAAAATACTAGACAGGACATCATGAAGGTTATAGAAAAGGCAGATGCAACAAACAACAGCAGAATGCACATTCTTTTCAAGCACCCATAGAAAAGTGAGCATGATAAACCATATCCTAGGCTGTGAAACAAACTTCAACAAGTTTATAAGAATTAAAACAATACAAAGTATGTTCCACAAGGGAATCAAACAAATATTAATACCAGAAACAAAACAGAGAAAATCGCCAAGAAAATGAATAAATAACAAATAAAAACAACTTTAAAAACCCACAAAATATTTGAAAATTAACAGCACTCTTCTTTAATGACCCACAGGTCAAAGAAGACATCGCCAAAACAATATTTAAAATACATAGAGTTCTATGTATAGACAATAAAAATACAACCTATCAAAATCTGTGGGATGCAGGCAAAGCAAGACTGAGAGGGAAATTTATAGTATTAAAGGATTACATTAGAAAGGGAAAAAGCCACAAATCAATAATGTATGCTTCTACCTCCAAAAACTAGAAAAAGAGGCCAGGCATGGCGGCTCACTCCTGTAATCCCAACACTTTGGGAGGCCAAAGTGGGAGGATTGCTTGAGCCCAAGAGTTCGAGATCAGCCTGGGAAACATGGCAAAACCCCATGTTGATCCATAATACAAAAATTACCCAGGTGTGGTAGTGCGCGCTTGTGGTCCCAGCTATTTGGGAGGCTGAGGCAGGAGAATCATTTGAGCCTGGGAGGGCAAAGGATGCAGTGAGCTGAGATGGTGCCACTGCACTCCAACCTGGGCACCAGAGCCAGACCCTGTCTCAAAAATAAATAAATAAATAATAAATTAGAAAAAGAAGAGCAAAAGAATTCAAAAGCAAGCAGAAGGAACTAAATAATAAAAAGTAGAAATCAACAAAACTGAAAACAAAAGATACAAAAACCATTGTAACACAATCCAGTTATTAGAGAACAAAATAATAAAATTGACAAATTCATTGATTGGTCTATTCGTCAACCAGACTGGCAAAGATAAAAAGACATCGATATTAGGAATAAAACAGTAAATATCATTATAGATGCAGCAACCATTTAAAATACAATGAGAAGGCCAGGCGTGGTGGCTCAAGTCTGTAATCCCAGCACTTTGGGAGGCCGAGGTGGGCGGATCACAAGGTCAGGAGATGGAGACCATCCTGGCTAACATGGTGAAACCCCGTCTCTACTAAAAAAAATACAAATAATTAGCCAAGTGTGGTGGCGGGCGCCTGTAGTCCCAGCTACTTGGGAGACTAAGGAAGCAGAATGGCATGAACCTGGGAGGCGAAGCTTGCAGTGAGCCGAGGTCACGCCACTGCACTCCAGCCCGGGCGACACAGTGAGACTCCGTCTCAAAAAACTAACTAACTAACTAACTAACTAACTAACTAAATAAATAAATAAAACAAAATACAATGAGAAAAATAAACACTTCAAGCTAATAAATCCAGTAACTTAGAAAAAATAAGCCAATTCCTCAAACATCACAAACTACCAAAACTCAAACCTTTGAAAATGGATAAGATGAACAATCTTATGACTATTATATTAATTTAACTTTATAATTTAAAAGCTCCTGAAAAAGAAATCTCTAGGCCAGATAGTTTTTACCAGATAATTCATTTTTTTCTTCTTTTTAATT